GGGGGGGGGGGGAGCTCTGCCTGCAGTGCCTCACTGCAAATTGTGCTGGAGGTGGCCGGTCGTATAGTTTAGCCCCGCCCCCTTTTAAAAACAATAGCGTCTGATTCCAAAGTTTGGATGCAGAATGCCGTAGGCTGCTTTCATCAAAAGAACGTGGTACTTTGCAGACAGTCCCTGCATGCAGAACCTGTTCTACAGCTGCAGCCTTTCCTAACACCTCTGAGATGCCTGAGAGGATGGGTTAAAGAATTCCTAATCATAGATTTGCATCGGCAGCCCTGGTGGCGATCTGGCGCACGTCCCTTTATGAGCTAATGATATCGAGGGCTTTCATCTGCCAGTGTAACTCTTTACGACACCGTTATCTATGAAACTCTACACACGGACCATTGATTTAAGTCCCACTGTACGGCACGCCGTAACTTCCTATAGCTTCTATAAAAGGTTTTCTTTTCTCTTTTTTTTTTTAAGCTGGGGTTTATTTACGAGGATTCCTGCTGTCATATTTCACCGGGGAAATCACACGCTAGCGAGCGAAGAGCAACTAATAGAGCGATAACATCCTCATGTAGAGCCAGACGGCCACACAGCCGCAGTCCCGGAGGAGTCAGCAGTTGATGAAGCACTTGCACACGCATGCACGCAGATGTAGGGGCACACACCCATTACCCGCCAGGCCCGTTTCATGCCCATCTGAGAGTGTTTTTTTAATAATCGGCACATCCTTCTTAAACCTCCCCTCCTTTAAATGAGGCCCTAAGTGATTAGCGCAAGTTGTGATGAGAGCAAGTCGCTCTTGGGCTGACCTACGCAAACACACAGCCAGAAATGCAGGCGGACTGGTTCGGTCAGCCTCGTGATGGCTAAATTCATCATTCTTTTGACTACCAGTTTCCTTCTCCCGCCGTACCGGTTCTAAGGAATGATGCTGAGTGTTTACTTCTCTGAGTGTTTACCTCTCTGTTTACTACTTCTCAGTGCAGAGTGCGTGGCCGCAACAAAGTACAGTGCAGTCAAGAAAAAGTCCCCCACTTTACATACGTATTATCACAAAAATTCCCATAATTCTCTTCAGGTGTAGCTCCGATCGACTGCCACATTATGCGTCGGGAACTAACATTTCCCGCTGATAACCGACAGCAAATATCACGTGTCAGGTAATCAAAAGGCTCTCTTAAGGACACGGAGGATCAGAGAGGGGAAAGTGACAGTTACGGTGGGATATGAACTGAACTTCACCACCGCATGAGTACCGACGAGTCTCATCTCCACCAAAGTAGAAGGACGTTACCTGTGTCTGTTTCTCCCTAATTCAAAAATCCTAAAATTCTTTATTTTTTCTCAATTACACTATTATTTTCATTGGAAGTTTTGCAAAATGAACAGCAAAAGCGAAATATTTCTGCTAGTTGAAGGCGTGTTTTGGCCAGCACACATTTTTCAGGGTCACCTGCACTTGTCATTTTATATTTCTTTAATTCCCATATTGTGCTTTTTTATTTGTATTAAGCTGATTAATTAAAATCTTTCATAGTGATACCAACTATTAACACCAGATGTTTCCAGAACCTTCTTGAAATTTGAAGCCCCGTTGAGGGCTGTGACGGTGCTGCACATGGCCTAGCAGGGGGGGGGGGCAACTCTAACACGTGGATTAGCTAGTGTTGGCTAGTCCTGCATTAGCGAATAATGCTAACGCCCGTCGATGTCTCGCAGGTTTGCCAAAGATGCTCGTTACCCATGAGTACCACGGCATCCCAAGTCCTTTGTGCGGTCCTCCGTTAAACATCCAGATCGGCGACATTGTGGAGCTTCTCTGTGCTGATATTCACAGCTCCTGGTGGCAGGTGAGGACCACTGACGACACCCTCTACCATTTAACGCGGTGCAAACGGAATACCACTCCAGGATTATTCCCTGTTTTTTTTTTTTTTTGGAATTGGGGGGTAGGCCTGTGTCCACACGCCCTTTGAATAAACATTTTATTGGAGCAAAATGAAATTCAACTTGGCAGATTCCCAGTGGAAGACACAGTTATGGAGACAGCTTGGGAGTGACTCTGGCCTCTTGTGATCCAATCGCATCATCATGATTTTTGGAGATGGTATCTGTGAAATAATGATGTCACTCACATTTTTAATTTGATGTATAGTTTAATTTGGTGGAGCATTTAATTTAATGTTAAAAAGTGGCACGGTGCTCGTGTCGGACTCATCCGTTCTGCACCAGAAGACGAAGTGAGGGTGCTCCATATGTTAATCCTGCTTAAAGCCCAGAGACGACTTCCGCTATCCTGCTTCCGACAAAGTGCAATCAATCTCTCTTATTTGATGTCATCTTTTGGCTGCCTTCTGTTTACGTTAACAGGGCATTATGTTCAATCCCTGTCGTGTCCGCGGCGGTAGCTTACTGAGCACACAGCCTATCTGAGAGCACTGGCCGAATGGTGTTAAGGTTGGAGTTGAGTAAGGTTGGGACAGACAGTTTGCACTTAGTTGTGCTTAAGGAAGGAACATTAAGAGCGCCAGGTCAAGTATAAAAATTCTGGCCAGTGTGTGTATCTGTGTTTGCAATAAAATCAGGGGGATTTGTTACTTTTGACGTGTCTTCATGACGATGCCACATGGACTATGCTTACTCGAAGGTATAAGAAATTTCTTGGCAGTTTTTCATATTTCCCTGTCATGTTATAATGGAGATCTGTAACTGGTCACGGAAATAGTGCTAACAGGTTGTTTTTCACACTCCCTGACCTAAACACGATTGTTTTTTTCCCCGCTTTTTTACGTGGTTGAAATTTCACTAAAATGTAATTAGGTTTGATGATTTCTGTCAGCCCAAACAGGAGGCTACTGTACTGCTCGGTTGTTAAATATTATTCATGAGATTAACCTGAGGCTACTTGTTTGGATAGTTTTCAAATCCATCCGGTGGCTGGACATGAATGACACTGAGGATGTCAAGTTTCACTCAGGTGGGGACACAAGACTTAATGTGATGTAATTTTTCTTTGTGTTTTCAGGGTAAGATACTGAGAACGGGAGAAAGTGGCTTTTTCCCGAGTAACAATGTGAAACCATGCCCATGCGTAAGTATACACCAGAATGTCGTTAGTGCTTCTGTCATAGCAGTCTCTGTGGAACTGATGTAGTGTATCAGTGAGCACTGTGATTATTAACAAAAACACCAGTATTCATAGCCAGCAAGTAACCACGCCAACGGTAAACACTGTCAACAATGTCTAAGGTCGTGGGTGGCAAACCAAACTGCTATCTTCATGAAATTGTGGTAATGGATGCTGAATAAATAGCCTTCGTTAATGTTTTGTTTTTTTTGTTCATAATGGTGCCTGTCTCCTTTTTCACAATGCAGGTCCCAAAACCGGTTGATTACTCTGCACAGCTCTGGTGAGTTTGTAGAATAGCACCGTATTTGACGTTAGCACCGTATTTGACGTTAGCACCGTATTTGACGTTAGCACCGTATTTGACGTTAGCACCGTATTTGACGTTAGTACCGTATTTGACGTTAGCACCGTATTTGACGTTAGCACCGTATTTGACGTTAGCACCGTATTTGACGTTATTTGACCTCATGGCTCCTTCAACAGGAACACTGTACTGAAACATTTATTTGTTGATAGATTGGGATGCATTGTTTGCTCCACATTATACAGCTGTAATTCAGATTTGAAGCACATTTGACTCCCTTAATATTGTCTGGCTTGGTGTGGTGAAGATCCATCTCCTAAATGAGGCAAATGGTGTCTTATGCGGCAGTTCTTGCATGGGTTAGGTTTGCAGGGGCGATGGAGAGACCCCAGGCTGAGGCGGAGCTGATTGACAGGGGAAATAGCACGTACCTTGTGAGACATAGGAGCAAGGAGCAAAACGAGTATGCCATAAGCATCAAGTAAGTCCAACCGTTAATCAAGGAGGATCTCTTCAAAGATCTTCCTTTCATGTGTAGTACTACAGCCCTTTTTGGCAAAGGGAATGCATTATCGTTTAATGCCCCACGTCACTTGTCAACCACCTATTAGATACTATGGTTCCTGTGGGTCCCCTTAGTGTTTGAGATCCTGCTTTGGTTACACGCGTCATGTTACCTGAGTCGATCTCAGCCCACGCCCCCTGAATTGAGATGGGGCTCTTGAGGGTGAAAAGCCTAGTATTGACAAGGGACCAAGTTCTCCTTGGATCAAAAACAGACTTCGTAATTACTGTTAGTGTTGATATGGCTTTGACTGAGGGTTTCAGTGTATCATTCTTCAATGCTGCATAATCCCTCAGAAACTCTTAATAACTTCCATGCTCCCAAACCACTTATCCTGAACAGTTATGCAGTGGCCTGGAACTTACCCAGGAAGGGCATGGAGCAGGGGACTCCCTGGATTGACTGCCAGTCTTTTGCAGGCCACACACATGCTAACAATTTACTGATGCCAATTCACTTAACCGTGTGTGGAAGAAATCCAGAATACCCAGAGGAAACCCAGACTATACTCACACGTAGACCCTTATGGTGCAAGGTCCCAGTTCTGCCCTGAGCTAACTTGCCACCCATACCATTCAGATACAACCCTAGAACAAATACAGTCCAGTTAGGAGTATACCCAGGAATAGATGTTTTTAATAGGAGCGTTAGTAAAGTTACACACTGAAGGCAATCTGCAGATCTTGCGACTAACCGTAACGACATGTACAGTAAAACAAACTTCCAGAGCGCTCCGCTCATTGTTCATTGACTCCCCCACAGATACAACAATGATGTGAAGCACATCAAGATCTTGAATAAGGACGGCTGGTTCTGCATCACAGAGAACAAGAAGTTCAAAAGCATATTAGTAAGTAAACGTTTTTTGTTCTGCCCGACCACACGCCTATCGTAGCATATGGGTTGGACCTGAACTCTCCTTATAAAATGCTACTACTAGGAGCTCATCGAGTACTACAAGCATCAGTCCCTGAAGGAAGGCTTCCGTAGTCTCGACACCACGCTTCAGTTTCCGTACCGGGAGCCGGAGAATAACACGAAGCTCAGAAGCCAGCGGCCCGGGAGCCATGGTGAGTGTCACCCACTGATGTCATCATTTCCTGTGTCTAGAACATCAGTTCAATCCTACATCCCTACTCTGCTTGCTTCTATCTCTCTTTCCTGCTTTCGTCACGTTATTGTCCCACTCCTGTTAGTGCAGTTTCCCAATCCGGTCCTCGGGGCCTCACAGTTGGTCCATGTTTTTGCTTCCTCTGAGCTCCCTGCCAGACATTTTTGCTCCCTCCCAGCTCCCACTAGGGAGCAAAACTGTGGACTGTCTGTGCTGGTGCCTGAGGACCAGACTGGGAAACATTGCGTTAGTGTCGTCACATTCATTTTCCAAAACCAATCAATATACCCATAGCTTAACTATATTTGCATTTAATAGTATATGCTACCATAACATAATTTTCATGCCATGGATGGTGTAAAATAAAGTAAAATCTTTAACATGTTTCAGATTATGAGGCGATTATTCTAGCATTGCTACAATTACAAACCAGGAACCTCGTACAAATAATAGGCAGAGTGATGTGATAGAAGGTTCCAGAAAAAACGCATGTGAGGCTCACTGAGGTGAGGAAAGGGTTAAAAGCAATAAGTGTTCCTTCGCTGTAGCTCCAGTCAAATGCTCTCCAGAGCTGGTTTGAGAGTTTATGATGTCCAGGTGAGATTACTCTGCGGTGCCACAGGTCACTGTGCTGGAAATGCGATGGGAAATGCGACGTGCCACAAGACTGGGCCCACGGTCCCACTGGAAGAGCAAAATGCCTCATTTTGAAAAAACCTGATTTCATTTTGCCTGTCTTAGGCAAACAAACAGTAGGAAAGATGGTAAATGAGGAAAACCTAAGAGGAACATGGGTTTTACATGTTCAGTAGAGTTCATTTCGGGTTACTCAGACGCTCCAGCCACCGCCCATCACCCCCCCCCCCCCCCCCCCCCCGCATCTCAGGCTTGCGGGCTAATCTGTGTTTTCTCTTCTCTACGAGGAAACCATACATGTACTGGTTAGTAATGTGGGTCAGCTGAGAGGAAGTGGTGGATCCTCTTAAATGCTCTCAGTTTTATGTAGTCGAGGTTCATTTAGGCTTGAGAGACAGCAGGACACACTTCTCTAGGACAGCAGTATAAAAACCACTGTAACCTTGAATTTGCATGTCTTTCAGGTCTGAAGAGTTCAGACACTTTTTTCCAAACATTAAAATTATTATTTACAATACTCTTAGCAGAAAAAATATACAGATGGATTAAATTGAAATTTGTTCATGTATTTTTATATCAGCACATGTTCAAAATGGGGAAGGTAATTGAATGATTAAAAAAATAAACATTCAAGGCATTCAATGATTATTTTATATTATTAAAATTTGAATACTTATTTTGGATATGTCACATTTTTTAGCCAAAAAAATATTTTTTTTAGAAAAAGTGGGATCTTCTTGTTGGATAATATACATTCACATAAACGGACAGGACAGGAGTTTATTTTGGGAGGTTGTGTGTACTTGTATGCACCTCTGCAGAAGTCCTCCTGTTAGACATTTACATGTTTAGCGTTAAGGAAGCACTTTGGCATTTATATAAACCTGTTCTCTCTGTCAGAGCTGAGCTACTGTTTGGGAATAAATTTTCACTTGCAGTCGGGTAGCAGCTTGACGGAATGAAGCGCGTGTGTGCGCCGTGAAAAGCCTGGTGGATTTTCTGCTGAGAAATGTTAAAAAAAGGGAGAAAAGGAGGGTTGGTTTTGAAATGGTGTTTAATCTGGGAAAAGATGGGCAAAGGCACAGCAGAGGATGTAAAAATAAATTCTTAATTAGAGGTCTGGCTGCCTTCCCCGTTTGACGCCGCCGGGTCAGTGCGTGTTTCTCGTAGTCGCACTTAGCAGAGCTGTTAAAGAGCGTGAGCCACCGACCTCTTGGTTTGGTAGCTCTATACTTTGTGTAGTGCATTCTGGGACAGATAGTGGGACACATTAAAAGCTGTGGTTTATGCCTTATGTACTGCCTTGTAAATACCGTTAACAGACGTGGTAGGTAATGTGGAGAAGGAGCAGTGTGGTTTAGATACAAAATTTAATTAATTGAAAAAACTACATCCAAAACCCACTGGTTCTGGTCCAATGGCCATGTGGTCAAGTCCAGGGCCGGTCCTAGCCAATGTGAGAATCACTGCCGGCGCCCCCTGTCTGAGGCACTGTGAAATTGACTGGCATATTGGCACCCCCCTCAGAAGTTGGTACCTATGCCTTGACCAGCCCTGATAAACTCACTTACTTAATTACTTGACTGATCTTTCAATAAAGTGAATCACATGAGACCTGGACCTCCTAATGAGTAATATAAAATGTTAAACAATAATATAAATATAACAAGTCATTCATAAATGACCATGATTAAATTAAAGGGACATGGGGGGTCATTGCCAGACAGTACTGGATCGCTGACGGCTGCATCCATTGATAGACGCTACGCATAACTCGGTATTTTTCAGCAGCTGTCCGAATCGTGGTTAATTAAAAGCTAGCTGACCGCATTGTGTGCGAAATACAGAATTTCCGTGTCATGTGTTGTTGCTCTTGTTGCATCAGCTGCTGTGTTATCAGTTCCTGGTGGTCAGACCTCCCGTTAATATTTTGTTTTTCTTCCTGATATTCTGCACCCTCCTCCCACAATCCCAAGATCCTTTAGTTCCTCCTGCTGACTCCAGCTTTGTTCTCCCTTCATCTGCTCCTTTCTGGTCAGGTACAGGTACTGGTTTCTGTTCCTCTCCACCCCTCCCCCCCCCCCCCCCCCCCCCCCCCCCGAATCCAGGCCCCGGATCACAGGCTTGCTTCTTTGAAAGCCCCTCCCCCCTCGCCATATCTTGCCAGGCCACTGTTTGTTTACACGCCCGACTGCGCATGTCAAAGAAATCTCCGTGCAAGGCGATCTCATGGTGCCATATGCAGTCAATGAATGAATAGGGAAAGAGGAGCGGGCCAGTCAGGGTCGAGTCAGGTCACGTTCCCGGTCATCGGAGCGCATACCACTCCACATGGGAACCCAATGGATTCTTCCTGTGACCAGGCCCAGCGTCAGATAGGAACCAATAAGAACAATTTCAAATTTTCGGCAAGGTTCATCCCAAAGCTCATACGATAAGCCCACACCTTGCTTTTCTGAGGGTTATCCGTCAGAGGCTTCTGTGCTTACTGTCGCTGACTTATTAGCTGACACAAATCCAGACATAAAACATTCATTTAATATAAGTCGCACTGTGAATCACAAAGACCATCTGCTTTTTCCTGGCGGATTCTGAAGATTTATTGGATTGCGCTCTTAGTTGATTGTAAGGCTTCTCGTCCAGGATATCCCCATGTAGGTTACGTAAAATGGATAGGTGAATAGAATAGGAGGTATGAGACATTCCCAGGTACTGCTTGACGCATCATGAAAGACCTTTGCATGGAGATTGTTTCAGTACACATTGAGTTTTGTCCATTGTCTTTGTGTGTGTGCTGGGAGAAAAAGATCTGGAAAAGTCTTGTTAATGAATTATTCTGGTCCTGCTGCCCCATCCCAGTCCTGAGTCCAAGGGTAATGGGCATCGCCATCGCCAGATATGATTACAGCGCCAGGGACATGCGGGAGCTGTCCCTGATGGAAGGTGACGTGGTGAAGATCTACAACAAGTTGGGCGCCAATGGCTGGTGGAAGGGCGAGGTGAACAGCAGGGTAAGTGCCAAGGGAGCCCAAAGAGCCTTGGACGGCCAACGTCAACATGTGTGCAGGGTAGTGGAAGCAACACTTAGACTGACACCCTCATTCCTGATGTAGGTCTATCTGTTGGCCTTTCGCCTTTAGTTGATCTGCTGATCATTGTGTTTGATTTGCAGATTGGCTGGTTTCCATCCACCTACGTGGAGGAGGAGTGACCAGGCTTGATGGGATGGGAAGGGATTTGGGGCAGGGTGTTGAACACAGCCTCTGAGATGAAGGGTAGCTGCCGGCAGTAAGTCTCTGCCCACAAGCTCCACCAATGGCTGCCTTCTGCCAGTCTGACACATGCTGGGAATGTTTGGACGGCTTGCTCTGCTGATTGGAGGCCCATAGTTCAGTGTGGGTTCTTCCAGTTCCAGTGGAACCTCAGTACCTGTCCCCTAGAGAGACTACCTTATCCTAATCCCTTCCCTCCCACTGTCAATGTCCCCCCCCCCAACAGACACGACTCTGATTGTGAGAGAGAAGGCTTGGACTGTTAAGGCCATTTTGCTCCAAAAACAAAACAAAGTTTTTACAAGCACTGGCTGCAGGACAATTTTATCTTATTTATTTTGAACAAAGAAGTAAGAAGAAAGAGGAGAAGATACTGAAATCATCCAGGGTAAAGAACATAGAGAAGCTCATGCAAGATGCTGCTTCAGGATAAGCAATACTGAGAACTTGGAAGTAACATCATCTATAATCAGCCAGTTAACTACAGGATACAGAAGACAGCACTTATATTGCTTGTTTTAATGTTTTTTTTATTGGATATTGATTGTATCCAGATAGGTCTGTTAATCAAGCAAAAGTAAAAATATTTAAAAATGACCACTGGCTAATGTAATCCAAGAGGCATACTGTACTATTTAAAGCAACCAGAATTGCTGCAAACTGCTTAAAATGCCCCTTGTCATCAAATGATATAGGCTAGTTTTATAAACCAAACCAAACGTTTTCTTCTTATTTGAAATAACGGATGACGTGTAATAAATTACTTCCTATCGGTTGTTTTTTTAACACGTCTGAAAACTGCAGAAATTGTTGGTCGCACCGAATAAGAGAATGACAGGTGACACCGATGCGACCCTTGTCGGACTTGGTATGCAAGCCTTCGTAGAAATACGCCCGTCCCATTCAGAAGGTTTAGATGTTTTTGTGCAAGAAAATAAGGACTTAGTTTGAAATGGCCTTCACTCTACTCACTACCTCTGTGCCCAACCTAGCCATGCCCCCCTACTTGATGACTGTGCTGACACCCCCAGTTCTGCAGGGGGCTAGTGGGCTGTGGCTTCTTTCAAGGTCCTCCCCCCGCTTCAGGTAAGACCCACCCACCAGGGAAACCGCTGGTAGGTTAAACCCCGGGTGGGAATTTGAGATCCAGTATAAGACGAGGATTGTCAAGTCCGTGTCTCTCCCTCGGTAAACTGATATGATTTTCTGTCATGTGCCCATCAGCGATCACTCTAAAAACACTTTGCTAGTCGTCTCAATCTGTTTCCCTGATTGGCACAGGGTGTCAGAGATGTGGGTGGCTGTAACGCTTAGCAAGCTGTTGACACAGAACGAAACAGGCGCTGCACTGACATCCTCGTACGGCAGCGGTGCAGTTTTCTAACGTCGCCGTTTGCAGGGCACAGTGCCTGGAGCATTGAAATAATTGGGGCTTTCTGTTCGAGAGGAATCCCATTTGAGGTCATAGCTAGTCTCATCTTTATCCCATAAAGAGCAGGATTATGTTCTGAAATGCTTGTTGTAGATGGAATATTTACAGATTATCTCAGTTATACGAGCCAAGTGGATTAAATGTACTTGATTTAAAAAAGCACCAAAAAACAAGACATTGTTTACAGAGAAATATGCATTTAATATTGTTGTTATCCTTTTAACGTGTATAAGTCGAGAGAGTTGGTTTTGTTTCTTTAAACTGCTGTTTTTTTTTTTTTTTTTGACAACTTTGTATCACTGATGCAAGAATTTAACTTGTACTGTCACTCATGTGATTAATCCAAAAATCGTACAGGACTCCAACTACTGAATTTACTGAGAACTACATATGAGACGTAAATGGGGTCCTGAGGCACTTTGAAACATATGTGATGATATTTGTGTTTTTATGCATACTGTGACCGATGTACATACCCTGTACATAGTCCTGTTTGTTCTTTTTTATGTTGAATAAATGTTTTGATGAATTAATGGAATGAGAGGTTGATTTTTAGTTGTGTATAAGAACTGAGCCCAGAACAGCATGATGCAGAGTTGGAGTGGGTATGGCCTTCAGAGAGAGTCATGGAGAAAACTCACCAGAAACGTAGTATTTGGGTCCTGCATCTCAAACTTTACTGTATAGGACAGGCATGTATGTATGTATGTATGGATGGATGGATGGATGGATGGATGGGTGGATAAAGAAATAAATATACATTTGGCTAAGTATAAAGTTAGTTATTGCCCTTTGGGGCTGAATCAAAGCCTTTGCAGAAAATAAAATAAAGGTCTCTGAAGTCTCCAGAATTTATCCGATTTATGATTCAAATGGTGAGTCAGTCCTTACACACTGTTTAAACAGACTGGCATTAATGCACTTTGGAAAACAGTTTGGAAATTGTGCTGTTTCTTCCTGGAACACAACCCAGCTCAATCCAGCATGATCCAAGAGTTAGAGTTTAGTTTGTAAATCTTCTAAATTGTCATGAATGCCAGCAGATATGTCTTTAATCATCTTGAAATCCAAAATATTGTGCTTCTCACTGGTTCTGGTGCCAGTAGTCCTGGTTTCTCGTTTAGAAGACGCGGTGGCACCTTCCACTATTACTGAAGTCGCAGTTCAGCCCAGTGGCCACTAGATGCCAGTAGGAAAGTTTGAGCAGCACATCAACGCCAGTTGCGTTTCCTGCCAGCGGATCTCGGAGGGCGTCGTGCCCAACTTACTCAAAGAGGAGTAGAATTAACTTACACAGCCTCAAAAATGATCTTGGCTGGTAATGTTCTAATGCCTTTGGTTGATGCCCATCTGGTGGGTGTCTAAGAATAATAAATATTGCAGTCCACTCTGTAAAGACATAGAGACAGATTGTAAAATCTCCCGTTAGAGGAAGACGCCAAAAGGCACCACGTTAGCATCAGATAGTTAGACTTTGTTAGCACCTCCAATTAAAGGTGTCTTTCTTTGCTTTTTTTCCCCTCCCTCTCTTTTTTTGATAATTATCCCCAGTGGGTAATCTCTCTTGTTCTTCTTATAGGTCACCACTCAGTCTGTGTGTATCCTAAGTAGTTTTTTAGGTTTGGGCTCACAGAAGGGGGCGCCGTCGTCGGGGGNGGGGGGGGGGGGGGGGGGGATTAACCGCAGATCTTGGCTCGCGCTCCAGGAGGAGGAGACGTAACACTCTGGATTTCTCCAGCTTTCCTCCAGTAATCCGTTTGCACCCCTCCCCAGGGGGGACAAACCCTGTGGGTTTTACCTAATGCCACAGAAAAAGGGAGCACAAACACCCCCCTCCCTCCACCTCACTAAGTGATGTCATTTGTCCCCACCCACAATTTTTTTCTCCCTTGCAAATTTTCTTACTCCAAACCGCGATTATGTCCTGCTTGGTCGACAACGAGTGCAAAAACACCTTTTGAGTTGTAAGTGTAATTAAATCAACAAGAACAATAAATTCCCATGAACAATGATGGGCAGATCTGATTCGAAGCCCCATCCACTCCAACCTCGACATGTTTGTTTTGATGGCGAGGTTTTTGATGTCGGTTTTGGAAAAAGGCTGCGAACTTTGAACAGGTTTTGTGAGATTCCGCCATTGTCTGAAAATACCACTCGCTGTCTACTCCAGCTCCTATGGGGGATGAGGTCTGGGAAAAGTAGAGCTAAACCCCAACTGCCTCTACTTGCAAAAACCTTGTTTGGGTGATTTTGGAGCAATAGGACTCTCATATTTAAGAAGAGACAGGAGATACAGAGGTTAAAAAACAGCCTTGTCCATTTGCTGGTAGTATTCAGTACCATTTGCACAATTTTGTCAGCACTAACAAGCAATTAGGCACTTGCAGATTAAAGCTGTAATTATGTACAAATCCACAGTGGAACAGAAGGAATTTCATGGTCCTGTGTGATGCTGGAGAAGGGGTTATCAATAAGCCAGAAATGTTTGTGTGCTTAACTTGGAGCATTAGCATGAAAACAGTGGGCCACAGAGGTCCTGCGTGTAGCTTCACAATCCCTCTGCTTCCCCGCAGATCTTTGCATTGGGCTGCAATTACACAGATGGGCCACAAGAAAAAAACAGGCTTTTTTCACAAGGTGGTGCCTAAGGTTTCGACACGATAAAAAGCCGAAACCAGATTTAGCAAAACAATCAGTGCGTTATCTAGTTGTTGTTCGTAAAAGTCAGAGATGAGTCTCTTCTTAATCTTGCGCATTGATTTAACTTACCTGCTGGTTTATCCATACTGTGTATGTGTGAACCGGGAACTGTGGGAGCTGTTTTGTTTTTTTTTACCAAAGATGATGGAAGTTGTCTGTAATCTGTAGGTATAGCAGCTGGTTTCTGCTATGCCTGTTTTTTGTCGGGCCGTGAGTCGGTTCCTGTTCACATACAGTATAACAGGTAAATACCAGGGAAGCTTCTGGAAGGGTTTCGCCTTAGGCATCGGACTCCAGAGCTAACACTCTTAATCCCCAGTGGCTTCAGAACCCTGGGAACACTGGGGGATTTTATCGGAGAAAACTCAAGTCACAGTATCTGCGCTCCAGCCGGGTGCTGAGGGTTATGTGACTCTTAGCTTATGCTAACGGTACAGCGGGGCCTCCCTCTCCAGCACACCTAATTGCCCCAGGAGTGGTTGGCAGCTCTCTCCTGCAGGCCCCTTTACCAGACAGCCATCCGCAGTCACGGCTCAGGACCCATCGACCTTGCTGGCCCTTGGGGCACCTGACTGTAAATCGGGAATTTGGCCGTTCCGCCAGAGAACCCAAACAGCGCCCGCTTGTCTCCTGTGTTCATCACTCTGCTGGATGGATTAGGTAACTGCAAAACTGCTAATGAATAAGCCATCGCGTGCCATGTGCCTTTCACTGCTAATGTTACTGTTTTGGCCATTTTCACTGCCCTTCGCTTACATTCAGTAACCCTTTGCCGTTTTCTCTGTTTATATGGACACGCTTGAAATTCAAGTTAAGTTCAGCAGCATGGAAGAGCCTAGAGATGTTTTGTCACACATCCAGTTCCTGAGCCGCCCTCCCCCATCGGCCCTCCCCGACGTACGTGGGCGACGCCCACACCTCGAGCCTCATGCCACCTGGCCACCGCCCGCCTACAGCTCACCTGGGTTTTCCGAATCAGTGATCGGAGGGGAGCGTCGTTTTACAGGTCGATGCTGGTTCATCAACACTGGCCCCCTTGGCTGCCTTCCCAGGAACACCATCTGCGGGTGGACTAGGGGGGCGGGGCATCACTCAGAGCCCCCCTTCCCCCCTGCAGAGCCGATTCACTGAACCGCCTCTGAATGCTTGGTAATGCCCCGCCTCAGATGCTGTCAGCAGCCTCTTTTGGCCCGATATCAAGGGATGCACCGTGACCACGCTGGCCAGGTGCGACCGTGTGTGTGTACGTGGCTTTCAGGCGGAACTCATCATGTGGTAACCAGCAGCAACGGAATCCCTGGCAGATTATCACACATCAGGGAACCTTTAAAGGGGCAAGATTCCAGAATTTGACCCTTGGGTCCTCACTATTAAATTTTCCAAGGGAGGGGGTTCCGATGATGAGAACAAATCGCCAAATGATCTTGGAAAAACGATAATTCTGGCTTAATCATAAGAGGGGAGTCTAGAACACTTATGGTGAGAATGCCCTCCATGAAAAAGGTTAAATCATCATGTCAGGCCAGGTTAGGGGCATCAGGCCCCGATGATTGAAGGATGGGTATGTAATCACAGGTCAAAGGTCATACATTTGTCACAATTCATCAGGACATAAAGAAAAGCAACCGAAATGCATCGAAAATAACGTAGTAAATATTTATGCAGGCTCTCCAGCATCTACAGCATGCACATGGCTGTCTAAGTGCGGCGATGCCTTTATCCCCAGGTCTCCGACTTCCGTGGCTCCGTGCCCAGAAGCAGAGATGAGGCCATTACCCTCAGCGCCGTGACTGCCACAGGAGAAGCAGGGTCCGGCGGCATCCCGCGATACGCCGGAGATAAGCAGGAGACGGTGTTTACAAACATGGCGGGCCTCGCTCTGTGCCGGGCCTCGCTCTGTGCCGCGCCGCGGCCGGCTTCATTCCAGGTTTGTTTGTGTCGGCAAGAGACTCCTCCACCTCTCTCCTCGAAGCCTGTCTCCCCTCTGCATCTCTGAATAGCACGTAAATACCTATTCCAGCTTCTGCAGACTACAGCTGCACTTTAATGTATGCCCACTGATGTGGTGTGATGCGATACGGCTGGGATTGAGAGTGAGGGTGGATGTTTTTCAGTTGTGTTTGTTTTTGCCCTAACAGGAAGCCTAGAGGAATCTCTGCTGTAATTTTCCAGTGGATGAAAACAGGTTTTTGGCTGGTTAGACCGCTCTGTTCTGCTCACTGGTAGACATATGGGTCTAGGTGGAAAATGATGGATCTGCTGCACCGGGAACTTCACTGGCAGATGTATGTGTAACATTTCAGGAGATTAATATTCAGGGAGGTGATGGACGGGCCATGGAGGGGCTTGGGGCCACCTCTGGCCTCCCCCACCACCAGATAGAGGGCCTCACCCTACCCCACTTGTGCTGCTGAAAGACGAAGGCAGACCCCCCCCTCTCAGAGCCAACACACGCTCCTCATGTGTCATTATGGTGGCAAGCTATAAAACCCAGAATTGCATGAGGCGAGCTACAGTGACCGTGCTTCTGGTGGACGTTCCCGTGGTGCCAACTCCAATCCATTAATGACAGGAAAAGGGGCATCCTGCAGGCCAATCAGCTGAGGCGGGCGCCCCTGTGGCCCCGCCCCTGCCCCTGGATGGCCCTGCTGCGACCGCATGACACATGTCAGCCCGCCGATAATTAAGGACAGTGGAGATGAGCAATCGTCTTTCCTTCCCGGTGTCACAGTGACAACACTGTATGCAGCATCAGCTTGCAGTACCTTTGACAGTCTGATACCTGACCCCCCCTCCCCCCCCCCGCTGATCTACACAGCCACCTGGCGGTGAT